TGTATCCACCACACACTTACTAACTTAATCGGTTCAACCTAACCTGTTAATGTTGATATCCATCTGGTATTGGTATGTATCCACCACACACTTACTAACTTAATCGGTTCAACCTAACCTGTTAATGTTGATATCCATCTGGTATTGGTATGTATCCAACACCAACAGGTTAGGTTGAACCGATTAAGTTAGTAAGTGTGATGGATATCAACATTTATTATTGGTATGTTTCCAACATACACTTACTAACTTAGCAAATGTTAACAATTTACTCGAATGACTTTCTTTTCAATTAAAAATAACTCGAAATTCTTGTTATTAAGTTTAGAGATTCGTATCATCCACTAATAACAAACAATTCTGATCAGCTTTTAAATATACTTACACATACGTTCATACTCTTTCTACGATAAATGATGTTATATGTTTGAAGTTAACGAATCAACGATTCCAGAATAATACATTTATGATAACAAAATACGAAGAGCCTTTAGCAATAAGAAATAAAGGAACATAGCTTCGTTGTTCCTCAAGATAAGAAAGACTTATCTAAATTTTTTTCATCGACCTATAGAAGAGCTTTATTTTTGATATTCTTAAATGTATGTTCTTTTACGAAAATAAGTTTTCGTGTGACCACACCCTAAGCCAACTTGTGATCAACAGTGACGTCAGCCTAACTTATTATTTGCAAAAGTTAAAGTAAAATAATAAAATGAAACCATCCAATTTTCTAAGATGTGTATATCATGATGAAAAACCTGGAGAATGTAATTAGAAAGTTAAGGATGTTTATATATATATTGTAAGTACATCAAAAGATCATTCAAAATTGTCTTGGAATATAAAAACTCGCCTTCAACTCAAATAATTGACAAAATTTTCCGAAGACAGATTTTTTTTTAAATATATGATAGAAAGTACAGGTTATTTTACGTCATGTTTCAATATCTTTAATTGTTCACAAGTTTTTAAAAAGACTCAGGGAAAGGAATTAGAAAAGTCGTGATTCTATCAGCTTTGACTGAAATGGACTTAGCGTGCCCTGACTGTGGACCCACTGAAATGGACTTAGCGTGCCCTGACTGTGGTCCCACTGAAATGGACTTAGCGTGCCCTGACTGTGGACCCACTGAAATGGACTTAGCGTGCCCTGACTGTGGACCCACTGAAATGGACTTAGCGTGCCCTGACTGTGGACCCACTGAAATGGACTTAGCGTGCCTTGACTGTGAACCCACTGAAATGGACTTAGCGTGCCCTGACTGTGAACCCAAAGGTTCAATATTCTCGATCAGTTGCTACAAAAAAATGCGCCCCCGTTTGGGGTCACGGGTGAATTATAGCAGGGATGACCAAATCAAATCCCACAGTTGGGTCACATAAGAGTAGGCCAAGCTTTAGCGTGAGTGCTGTGCTTTAACTGCCTTTTCTTCAGTCAAAATTAGTGCTGATAAGCACAACTAGCCTTTGTTTAGCTGTATCCGAAATTCGAAAAAAAAATAAAATACTAAAGTTTCGATCCAATGTCGTTAAAAGAAAGAGCCAACTGAACGTCAGTAGATTCTTCAGTTCTGCTTTAAATCTCATCTAGTGGTTAATAACCTGTATTTGATTTCAATGTTTATATTAAAATGCGTCAAACACAGAGTTCTCCTAAGATAAATGAAGACAATATTGTATTTAAGGCAAATATTCATTGCTTTATTTCATTGTTTTTCACAAATAAACCAAACAAGTTGAATATTTTCACTGATAATATTTTGGTATTTTCAACCTATTGTAAAGAACAGTCAGAGGTGCCCAGAATTTACAACTATAACGCCCCTACAGTCTGGACTGTGTTTAACGGCCCTAATCTTGGTTGGACCCTCCGATACGCAGCCCGGCATGTTAACCACTATCCATAATTTTAATAACATTCAATGGATCGTTGTCATTTTGACGAAGTTAATGAACCATTACATCAATATCTGGCACAAACTGGGTCCAACTATGTAACCTAAAGCTGAAGGCCGGGGTGGCCTAGTAGTTAGCGGGTCAATCTGTGTAACCTAAAGCTGAAGGCCGGGGTGGCCTGGTAGTTAGCGGGTCAATCTGTGTAACCTAAAGGTGAAGGCCGGGGTGGCCTAGTAGTTAGCG